CAGCGAAATTTGATGATCGTCTGGCACACTTTGAAGGTATAGGCTACCTACTGCAAAACATTTCAGGACTCCAGGACCATTCCCCTAGAAGTAAAGTAGTTCAAAAAGGTAGAAGTGGGTCCGGACGGACCGACAAACCGCAAACCATAGCACATTTTTTTTAATTCTTAAAAAAATGCGCTTAAACTCTAAAATAAAACGGAAAGCATAACAGATAGATATAGGGAATGTAATAATATTAATCGATTTATAAATTTTTTCGACATTTGAAAGTTCAAAAAATAAAGTATTTTGTATGTATTTGAAAAAATCAACTTTTTAAAGTTTGAAGTTATTAAAATTGGCAATTAGTGTTAAAACACCCTGTAAAAGAGCGATCCATCTTTAAATAATTCTTATGTAGCATCAAGTCAGTATTGTTGAAGTTGGAAGACTTTTTGAAATTCAAGTCAAGAATGTGGTATCAAACGACGTAGATTTTACACGGAGATTTCGAAAATGCAATAAAATACAGGGTGTTCTATTTAAAATAAGAAATTTGTTATCCACGTCTGGTAAGACCGGAAGTAAAACGATCATAATATTTTCTTAGATCACGATCACGAAAATCTATGTTGGTATGCACATTTTTTTAGGTAACGGTTTGCGGAATATAGTCTGCAAAAGTACTCTCCGTGTTTTACCAGACACATTTGATTCTGGTAAATTGCCCGTACTCAAACATTTTAACTGAAAACATGTGACGTAAATGCAAACGCCCGCTTCAATTTCAATTCAAAACAACTTTTCATGAAACCTTTCATGGCCTGCTTTATGTTAGGAAATTTTCGTTTCCATGCCAGTGTCACTAAGACTAGACGAGATAGGTATATTTTGCACCGTAAGTAGAATACCGCATATGCGCAATAGCATTTCAACACACGAGCCTACCACAAATTTAAAATGTGTCTAGTGTGACTATGCACCGAATGATAAATCTAATTATAAAACACATTAATTAACATACAAGGTCACAATGGAATTAATTTGTGCCCAGTGTGATTAAATCCAGTCTTAAATCACTTAACACATGTCAAAACATGGACCTTGCCAAGTATTTAAAATGTGATCGGTGTAATTTTATCACCAAGTACCCAACCAATTTTAAAATACATTTTTGTTGATACACAAGACCAGTAATTATTACATGTGCGCCTGGTGTAAAGTACAACACCGTAAACCCCTTTTTGTTATAAGGAAATAGCACGCCAAATGACTCATGAATAGCAACCCATTTCACAACACAAAGTAGGTCCAATCACTAGACAGGTTTGTTACTTGTGCCATGGATTAGTTTTGGAGGGAGTTTTGATTTTGGGTTTTGAGTTGCGCAGTCGCTTCTAAGCTGGACCTGGGTTATTACAATTGTTATGTCAAAACAAAAGAAAGATATATTGAAATTTATAATTATAATATTCATGTATAGATTTTGACGTCACGGCGCTTTAGCAATAAAATTTAATGTTTCATATTTTCCATATAGGGCCGGGTCGCATTAAAAATCGAACAACTGGCATAAAAGATGTACGTAGATTCTGTAATTTGACTAAAATAATGTTCTTTCGCAGTGAACCACGGTGTGAAATAAATATAGAACTGTATAATCTGTTTCTATTATGCAGCCATTTCGTGGTCTTTCAACGTAAGAAAGAGACCGCAGACGTAGTTTCAGTCCACCACAATTCCGCTAGTAGACTCTTATAGTTTTCTTACGAAAATCACGCTCAGGCGCTTAAGTATATTTGGAAACCCAGGGCAAATTAAAGAATATATGGAAGGGAAAAGAGTGAATAGTTAATTTTCCAATTGCAGATTGATCATTTTTGGGAAGAATCAAAACCGAGTCTACATCACTCGGATTTTGTCCGAGATAAAAACTTCTTTCTTACTTTTCATTTTAAATCGGTTCTAAGACATTTTTGAAGACGATAAATTGTTTACAACTGCACTCATCTATGGACGATTCATCGATAATCGGTCTGTTATACGAAAAAGATCGCAAAATTGTAAATTGCCACAGCATACATGGTGTTTAATTAATTCCCACGCTGTATGCAAAAAAAGACGCATAAGTGGGAATACTAATCGACGTATCACAGAATTTTTTTCAAAACATAATAATTGGAGTTTGTCCCTTCATTGTTTGTTATACAGAGTGTTTCTAAATATCATGCAAAAACGGAAAGGGCTAATTCTTTGAATTATCATATAAACCTAGGTCCGCAACCCTTCATTACTGATTTACAGGGTGTGCAAATTTCAACATTTTTTAAGTTTTTTATTTACCTCCTGCAATTTTTGAGATATATCGCTCAAATTTGAAATACAAGTTTAGTTTGTGAAACAAGAGTTTAATTTAATCCAGTAGGCCATGGTCTTACTTGGATAATATATTATTTTTTGTTTTTGTTTTTGCATATGTTTATATTTAAAAGTTTAAATTCTAAAGTGTACGGTAGAACTATAACACCCTGTAGATCGGTAACGAAGAGTTTGCGGACCGATGTTTATATGAACTTTTAGTCATAAAATAAGCCAAAAAATTATCCCCTTCTGTATTTACATCATATGTATTTAGGAACGTCCTGTATATGGTCAAAAATAAGTACTAATTAAGGCTTGAATTATGTCATATTTTTTCCGAAGGATTGCTATAAATTAGTGCATTTGTCATAATAAAGACGTTAAAAATGTGTCCAGGTTTTAGAATGTGGCATATTTCTTTAATGTTCACAATTTCAAGTCTTGGAATTTCCTCAGAATCTGAGAAACTTACAAAAGCCTTCGAAGCAGAACTACTATTAGAATCCTTAAAAGGGTGTAATCAAAATTTGAAAATATCCTCTCGCTTAAAAGAAAAATCAATAAATTGTCAATTTCAGAATGATCCTATATTTTCCACTCCAGAAAAAAGTTTATTACAAGTTTGTGTATAACGATTGTTGAATAATCTGTAGTAATAAGCATACGGGGTCAGATCAAAAAGTTATAGAACCTAACCTCATTATTTTTAAAAGGAACACCCTGCATATTTTAATTAAAAAAAATAGCATTAATTTCGCTTTTCAAAAATATACCACTAAAAAGAATTCAATCAAATTCAATATTGATTCAAAAAATGCAGATATTCAAAAACCTTTTTTGAATTTTTTTGTTTTTTGAATCATTGGACCATTTTTTAAATTTTTAAGTTTTTTAAAAACCTCTTTCAGTCTTTTTCGAATTTATTTGATGTTTTTCATCCTTGGTGTGTTATATTTTTGAAAAGATAACTTTTTTACCTGGCTGTACTTATCCTCAAACGGCAGATTATTCAACAATCATTAAAGAAACTATTGTAATAAACATTTTGCTGTACCTCTTGTAACTAAGAAAATATAGGGTCATTCTGAAATTGGGAATTTTCTTATTTTACTCGTATCTCTTACGCCAGTGAATATTTTCAAATTTTTATTTCTCCATTTTAAGTTTCACCTAAAAATGGCACATGACGCCTATGTTACTTGTTATATAGCACTAACAATTACGGAAATACCCCATAAAAGTGCAGAAAATGGGTCACCCTGCAGCTTCAATGTGTGTGGGGTAATTCTGCATGGTCAAGGGAAGCGCATTATTTCTTAATGACATTCGTCCATTAAACACGTCACACGTGACATGGAACAGAGTGTTCGAAAAAATTACATAATTACGTGTATTTATTTTTTCGCTAAAACGCGCGATTGATAAACCGAAAAGCGGCAAGGCACGTCGTCGTTGCTAGTATAGGTAACGATATCTCTGCCCGCCGAGACAACCACTCGCCTTTGTACTTAAAAATACACGTGATTTTGAGCGGGTGGGGGGTTAGTCTCAAACCTCACCACGTATCATCAGGACAGGAGATGTAGGTTAAGAATTTGCTAAAAAACATCACGTGATTAATGGACGACCCCCTACTAATTTTCATTGCATATTGTTAAAGAATTCACTTTTTTGGTATAGCAGCATACACGGTGTGCACTTAAGAATTGTACTAAAAAATAGTAGTTGCGATAAAAAATATACCCCTCTTGACCATGTAGAAGTACGCAAGTAATCACAAATTTAAAATAGCAAACTTTTTCTAATTTTTGGTACCATAAAAAGCTTCTATAAAAAATGCTGTTTTGAAGTGGTTCATATAAACTTTCCACTCTGCATATATTAGCGTTTTTTAATAGCTCGTAATCAATACTTTCAAACTCGAACCCAAGAATTTTTGATTTCAATATCACATAATAAGTCATTATAAAGGCGCTTTTATACGAAAAATCATATACAATAGTGATGATGGACTTCTGCTTCCGTTTCCGCAAATGCGGCAGTTCTGCATATTTTTTCGCTTCCGCTTCTGATTCCGCTATTATATAACGGAATATGTATAACGCAATTTACGTGCGTTTTACAATGTTTAAAAATTTTTATGACTAATTATTCTAGTTCTTATCAAATAATTTTAATTTTAATAGTATTTAAACTTCCGTTTCTGCTATCGTTATAACACTTCCAATGCCAATTCCAATCACGAGTACACAACTTATATTTTGAATTAAACCAAAACATGTTGAGGTTCACGATTGATCCGTTTTCCATGTTGTTTCGCTTGATTAAATGGATTTTGGAAATTTTTTGTGTCAGACCGCATTTTGATTCCGTTGGTGCTATAGGTATTTGTTCCAAACGTCTGTTTTACCCCCAAAAGAATATGTGAAGCAAAATCATTTTGCAATTTCGAATATAATGGCACACAGTTGGATTTTTGACCATATAATACAAAGCGATCGCAACAAGTTTTCGTATTATAGCTATAGGTGCCAGTAACTCCTAATTTGTTTTTTTCTGAGTACCTAAAGTTCAACTATTTGGGACAAGGAGTAAAGTTTCTACCACAAAGAATTGTGCGTATTTCAAACGTGGCGGCTAAACTAATTAAAACTTACCTCCAAAGTTTCCCTAAAGTCTTTGACAATTCTGCATTATGCAACTGCGGGTACTGATCGGCCAATTTCCTTCTCGCCGCCTGGGCCCAAACCATAAACGCATTCATTGGCCTTTTTACGTGCAGTTTTCTCTTATCCGACGACGCCCTGCGAAAGAAACGATCCCAAAATTAATAGGGGATATAATTGTGAATTTTGTAACTATTTATTATACGCGCAACCGTCCGGTCCCGCGCTAAAAATACACGATATGGCGACTGCTGTCGCATGCGAGTACCTGAACGTGACTTTCTCGGTTATGATCAAAGAACTCTTTGTTCTTTTGAGTAATGAGGTAAGCCTCATTTATCCGACAGGAAAAGCATCGGAATTTGATGAACTAATAATTGCACTTAAAGTCGCATTCGAATTGTGAAGGTCTCGAATTTAAAAGGGATCAATATATCACTTTTAATAATTCGAAACGTGTCCTTATTTATGATCGTTTTTGTTACAAAATAATAAAAATCCCCCTAACGTTTTAGTCCTAATGTAAACCATGAAGTGAATTTTATAGCTTTTCAAATGGCCCATAAGAATTCTTAAACATGTGTAGTTAGAGACTAATATTAAAAAGAACACGCCTAATTATTCGAGTTTAATTGCTCTATACCTTTGCCGCTTTACCCACTTACATTCAAACGTTTCTTCTTCATTAGTTGCTCCTTTAGCAGTTGGCTTGAGCACTTTATAATTTTTCCGAAACATGCAAAATCTTTTAAGACGAATTGCAGATGAAGTACGGTCTCGGTCATTAACGAATGGAAGAAGCTTTTAGAAAAAAGATGGTAAGATAAAGATAAACAAAAAATGGACCCCAATCACAAATTTTGGGCCCTAATAGATTGTTGGCAAATCAAAGTTGAAAAAATCTGTTAACAAAAATAGATTGATCCGTATTTTTTAGATTTTTGTAAATTTTGGAAGGTACCGTTCTCAATTAAGCGACGGCAAATAAGAAATTTCAAAAATTCGAACGAAGAGTGGGGAGCGGTCATGCATTTAATAGTTTTTTTTACAGAAATGTAAGCATCAATGATGTATTGGGCAAGTAAACATTTGACGCGCGAGCGTATGAAAAGGGGGCGAGTTATGGAAAATTGGGAAATTCTTCTGTTTGCGCCCCCCCCCCGCCTCCCGAATGATTCTACTGCTCCAAAGTCTAGATGCATTTTAGTGAAAGTTGCGTTTATTTATTTGACAGTTCAAGAAGAGGTGCCAATTAAGTTCACATTCATTTTGGATCCTACTTCTACGAGATTGCATCGACAATGTGCCCCTACAGTTATAGGTTTTAACAAAAGTGTTTCAACATTACCATTTACATTCAATAAAAAGTTGATGCATGTTCGATAACCATTCTATGTGCAACTGCAATTGGATGGCTTCAGTCAAACAGTGTATAGAGTAAGCCAAAAAATATGAACTTAGCACAAGAACAGAGTACCATAATTTCTAAGAATATAGCATGAAAAATACTTGTGATGTATGAACTACAGGCCCTTTGCAAAGATCGTGATTTTTAGGGTAGTTACGAGTTTATATACTAGTAGAACCGGTTATGCGTTTAGTAGTAACTTTTACCAATTCTCAAAATCCCAAGACAAAGCATTAGTTAGAAACGCAAACATATTGAGATTTTTTAGAAGTAGCTCTTCAGCGACATTTTTTATGTGTAGCGATATTCTAGAAATCCCGATAGACATCAAGGCACCATAAAAGATGAGTCATCGGCGATAAGAAACGAAACCGGATGTGACGTATTCTTTCCGGGAAATATAACGTGTTTATTCGAGAACAGTCTAGAATGTTCGGAGGAGTTCGAGAACTTTCGAAAAGAGGGGCGTTTGCTGTATAAGTAAATCGAAATGTGCTTTAGTCAGTTCAAATTACGTCGAAGTAATAAATAGTTCCTGCTGCTATAAATAAATTGTGTATATGTGAGTGATAGTACCAAAGACTATCCTCAGGATAGTCTTTGATAGTACTTTAACTGTTATAAATCAATTCATTTCAAGACTGTTATAATTTTTTGTTAATTAACTGTAAATAACTAAATTAATTAAAGTTACATTCCAGTTCCAGTTCTAACATAGTTACTGACCAAAAAGGGCCAGAAATGTGAGTCTCTTGATAAATTGTGTGTTGTATAAAATTTGTACTTATTTGCGCGACTCCGCATGCATTTCGCCCCTTAACCCATTTTCTTATATCCGGCCCATGTGGTGCAGTTGAGTTGAATCTCGACTGCGATACCAAGGGTCCCTGGTTCGGGCATGGATATTTGTAAATGTATAGCGGGTTGGGGTGGTAGAACAACCTTGGCTGAAACCTCGCCCACTCAAAAATAAAGGCCTAAATAAATAAATAACTATTAAACTATTGCATCGAATTAAACCAAATTTGATACGTACGGATTGCCTTTTCCTAATTACATATAATAAGCCCAGGTTTATTTGCCAATACATTACGTAATTTTTTTTTTATTTTTACTCTGTAGATCTCGTAAGCCGTAGATATAGGAGATACAAAATTATCTGTTTCTTCCACTTCATCCCCAATTAACGAATTATTGTTATTGTCATGTCAAGATGCAAAAAAACCAAAATGATACATCAATAATATTGTAAATCTCGCTTATAGGTAGAATGAATTATTTGCAATGTGAATAAGAAACTAACCATCTATTCATAAACTACGGTCGATCAAAGAGATATGGTTGGAATTTAGACCAGAATGTTTTTGGGAAAGGGACTTAAATTCATCAAGGATTTGATTATATACTTTTGCGATGTTGTAAGAAAATGAGCGCTGAACAAATTTTTATTTTAGCACCACCAGAAAGCCGAGAAAAATTACTGAGGCTTTGTTAAAATTATTGTTTAATACTTTTGAAAATTAATAAACGCCAGCGCATTTTCGAATATGACAGATTTGTAGAGCTACAAGAAACTTGGAATTGGAAAATTAAGCAACAGAAAATTCTGCATTACTTTGCCCATTAAGCGCCTTTGTATCTCCTATACGGTTTACGAGATCTCCACAGTGAAAATGAAAACAAAACTCATCCTGTATATGTTATTAAATTTATTTCTACGGCTACTTTAATGTTTACCACTGTAAAATTTGAGCCGATGCTTGAAAATAGGCACACCTTATTTTCATTGTTGTTCGAATAGTGTTGTGAGGCGTGCAAATGTTAAAGGCGAATTTTGCAATATTTTCGGAAGTATATTCGCATTGCTAAGAACGTTCCGGGAAATATTCCCACACCGGACATTTAACCAAATATTTCCCATAAATTCTCGAATATTTTACGAGAATATTCTTGCAAAATTTCCAACCGCCTGCGCCGCCCGATTTCACGAGGTTACTCGATCGTTAACTAACGTGCAGTAGTTTTTCTGGGGAAAGTTTTTTAATACTAAGGTACCAAATTTTGAGATCCGCATCATGGAATTTTCCGCATCTCCGTGAATATTTCAAATTTTTGTTTTAGTTTTTTGAATCTTCATTCTTAATTTCAGACTCGATTTCAAATTTAATAAAAAATACGAGAATAAATAGCCCAATTCCCTAAAAAGGTTGGGAGTATACCTATTATACTCGTAACAGAAATTATTACTTTGATGGCGCGGTTGTGGTTTATAAATTTGTGTATGGATAAAATTTTTTCGATAGGTCGATTAAGTCATGGTGCTCGGGTGCACCATCCTGTTGAGTTGAAACCAACAGTTACCAACTTTTGTTTTTTTTGCCGTACAAAAAATGCTACTAAATACAGCAAATTTCGGATTTTGTGGCATATCTTCGGAAATAATCGAAATTTTGTGGCATGATAATTACTGTTTAAGTGCGTAACTTTTCCCTAATTTGATCTTCTATAGTTTCCGAGATCCTCATGATAGTCATCCTTGTCTTGGACACAGTGTATCTATACAGGGTGTCTTGAATTGAGTAAGATAGCATGGCTATCTTTGTTATTTTTATACTTACCTACAGATTCGGTAAAATTGGCAAAGTTGTGTAGTTTTTGATGCTGGGGGATATTCCGATGCGATATTTTGAAAAAAACTTCTGATTATGATTGAAACCAAATTTGTTCGTTTATTGTCTCGCATTCGCATAGTCACCATCGACACGGCCATGGAATTATTGCCATAAGAAATACATTGTAAACTTCGAGACAAAAATGTAAGGTTGATTCCCAAATGAAATACTAAGTGTTTAGTATCACTGGTTTTGTAATTTTTTTCTCTATCGAGTGACGGAAAAATCCAATATGGCGTCTATTTAAAATATAAGGAAGTTGATGTCAATATCTCAGAACCCATTTTAAAAAAATTGTTTCTACGTTAATTGAATTTATCCAATCTTGCAACTTTTGTTGCAAACTTTTTTCGATAGCTCTCTTTGCTACTAAAATATTTGAACTTGTTAATTTTTTTAATTATCTACAATCTGTAGGTAGGTAAGTATAATAACAACAAAGATAGCCATGTTATCCTACTCAATTTAAGACACCCTGTATGTAGTCCCAAAGCTCCCAACAAACAGGTCGATTCAAACCTCCCTCACATCAGGGGCGGCGCCCGGCGGGATTTAATTTATTGCATGGGGGCAAGGGTCAATTTTCGTGAAGAATAGGGATCATAAATCATCAGGATCTACTTTATTGAATTTTTAAGTAATGATACACCGAAGAAAGTCGGAGAATCATGCGATGCTAGCCACACCGGCGTTCCGCAAAAATGGGCTATGCGTGCTATGTCTGCATCTCTGCCCAACATATCGGTTTCAGTGCCATATTAAATTAAGAAACTGATTATGAATATGAGTTTAAAAGATGTAATATAATTTGAATGAGAGCAAAGCACCCTTAACATCACCTTGCATGAGGGCATGGTTGCCCTCCATACGTAGCCGCCTCTGCCTCACATAGGACTGTTTAAGACATTGCTTATTGCTTTTTTTTTTAAATTACAATGCTAAAATTGCTATATATTTTATGAATAAAGTTTTGTTTTACGTTCGCCAATCACTTTTCTTTAATGAACCCGAGAATGAACCCGACTGAAATATTCAGGGTTACAAAGGGTTATGGTTTTCAAAATAAACACTTCGAAAGGCAAGGAACTACAAATTAAACATCGTAAAGCAGATCTAGAGAAGCGGTAGAGGCGTTGATACGGTGCGACTCTACGAGGTTGTTAAATTTGGCCGATTTTCATTAGTCTTGGTACATGTGGCATATAGATCAACTGTGCAAAGTTTGAAACGAATCAATCCAAGCGTTTGTCAGTTATCGTTTTCATAGACAGACAGCCAGACAGACACCATGGACTTCCCTATAAAGCTTCTATTTTCCAAAAAATACTGATTTCCCCAATATGGCACCACAAAAATGTTAATAGACACAGATTGTAGGTAATGTTTTCGTCTCCATTTCACAATACTAGCACTTTTTGCGTAAATAGCTTGCTTTGCAAGTTATAAGCTAAAAATGATTTGATTTCTAATCTCGTTTCTAATATTATTTGAAATCATTTATCGAATTACTAAAAACCGATCTATAACTCTAGGTGTAGGACTATTATGGGCGCAATCAGATTCAACCATGACCAGGGCCGTATCTACATATTATGCGCCTGTTGGTCCTTCAAAATCGCCCCCCCCCCCCCCGCTCCCAACCAATTAAAATCATTATGTACCTACCCCAAAACTAAATTTTACTCTATACAAAAAAGTATAAATATGATTTTCTTTCTCCTAATTTGCTCAGATTGATTTAATTAATAGTAAAAAACATTTTTTATATTTATAAAGTGTTAAAACCGAGGTTAAAACAAAGTATAATATCATATCAGCTGTTCTTTGAACTATAAACAAATACCAAACTGTTTAATTTTTAGAGAAATTTACTCGTTTTTTATTAATATTTCCGCATCATTAATCAACAGGAGGTGATCATGCGGCTATATCTACTTTTACTTTTAAGAACATACGTTTTACCTCGCGTTTTACGTAATATTTACAATGTGAAATTCAGAAGTGGTTTTCCAAAGGCTTTAATTTCAACAAAAAAATTTGCGGGTGAAGCCACAAATTTTCCACAATCGTAATACAAAATTCACATAATTTCGTCGAAATGTGAGGTTATGTTACTCCCTATTTCATGATTACTTTTAAGTTGGTAAGAGTGTGTGTAACAATTTCCATTTCTTAAGAGGTTATGTTATTATTCCACGATAGCACTGTAAAATTATTTCCTAAATTTCTTTTTTTGCAGTCTCTAAAAATTTGCCGCCATGGGCCCATGGTAAATCCGGCCCTGACCATGATGTAAATAGAAAACCAATTACTTAAAGAATAACGATGGGATCCAAAAAATGCGTATATGGATGGCGAGATGGATGGTGAAAATTTGCAGTAATCTGTAGGTCCCTATAGTATCTAGATATATTTCTGTTAAAAATCCTTTAAGAGTCGAGACTCTTTACCTACGTCGAGTTTTATTATCGATCATATTTTTATTTGTTTTTGTAACAAATTCCCCGTTTTTCTCACTTTTCAAAGCAGACCACATTTGTAGCATACAGCGTAATGTAAGATCAGAAATTCAACCTACATCCCCGTATTACTGTCAATTAGGTATGTCAGCATGCCCCTTTTTGCGGCGGTCTCTTATAAAGTTCGGAATTGCGCAACAACTGCTATTCTACCATTAAATTTTGTGATTTGAGATTGCGGAGCTAAATGTGTTCCAACCCCGTCTGTAAAATTCGAAACTTCCTGAAAACTAGACGGTAGGGAATTCATGTCGTAAAACTCGGAATTTTCCAAATATTGTGCGTATATTAAAATTTGTAAAGAACCGTTTGTTTTGAGATAATTTTTAAATATACACGGAACAATTAGTGACATTGTAAATATTACGTTTTACCAGTAGAGAACGTACAAACAATGTTAAAAAGTTGAGAGGTGCCGTCACTTAACACAATTAGCAAACCTACTTTAATTATGAACTTTTTAAAACACTTCGCACCCCTTTATGAATCACACGTTACAAAATCCTCTAATTCACGAACCGCTCCAATTTTGTCGTAATCACCGAAAAAGTTCAACGTTCCGTTGCGTAAAATTCAAGAAGATTAACGCGACGCATCCATAACAACAGCGTTACATTCTGAATCAATGCGTAATTAACCGATAATAGAATTTTTTAATAGATAAACTTACTTCGTTGCAATTGGTACCAGTGACCAATCGTAGCCCCGCAACACCTTCGACACGGCTTCATTTATTTCGCTTTTATCCAGCGACGCATTTTCGACTTTCGGCGACGTCGACGTCTCGTTTATGATGGACGCGACCGACGCGGCCGCAATCGAAGCCGCCGCATTCGAATTTATTGGCACCGGCGAAGAACGCACCAAATTGCCGCTCGACAGCATTTCAAATTAGTTCGGTTCACACAAAATTAGTTTATGAATGAATTTACACGACCACTTTTTTTTAAAAAAAACGTACTACGTCAAACAATGCCTAATTGTTCCTATTAACATCGCTTCAACACCTCCACTAGCAAACACGGATGAAAGAGTGCTTTCAAATCCCCAAAGCAGTTTTCATATACCACGCGCCAGTTTAAGATAAAGACCGGGATCTTAAAATGCCCACGCTTTTTGTTGCCGTCTTACTTCAATTCACCGATTGGCATAGACTAGCCGATTTACGTTTCCTCATGTGGGTCTTTAAGCAACTGTGACATATGCTGATGCCAAGAAGATGAAGACTGCCAATCGGGAGAAGGCCTTCTATTTTAAGTACGCCTAGTGTAATCTTATTGGCGAGGAGATTAATAGTTTTTTTTTTATTAATTTCTTCTCTGACTTTTTTATTTTGAGGATAATGGTCGACGACCACCAATTAGTCACATCTGATAAATCTGGTAACGGGTCTTCACGTAAAGTAAACAGGAAGGTGCGATATCTCAATTTTATGAGTTGATATGTAGGAGGGTGTTCATCTCACAGGGCAACAGGTGGGTTTGTTGGAGAATTTTTTGTATGAGTAGGGCATTTTTGGAACATGTTCATCTAACTTATTTAATAAAAAGTAGGTAACAAAGGTCTTAATAAAAAATCGAAAGCCGTCAAAATGTTGCTTCAAAGTTTGCGTCAGGAATTAGACAATTTCAAACTTCTTTAGCATTGAGCTATTTTCACAATTAGGTAAGGTGGTGAACATATAACGATTTTGATGTTCTTTCATTCATTACTTGGACAGCTCAACCAAATTTATAATATTTAGGTATAGTTGGTACCATTTTGATATACATTTTTGTCAAAACAAACACACCGTACATAAATATTTGATTTGGTAGATAGAAGTTTTTCACTTCCAGTTCCATTTTTTTTTTAAATTGCGTGGTCGATCCGATTTTGTTCATCCCAGGAACTCATCCATTCGGCAGACAAGCAGAATTTAAAAATCTCCGTATTTCGGGTTGTCGAAAGTACTTAGGTATATTTCATAAAAAAAGTATTAGGCTCCAAAGACTTGCGCTTGAATCACCTCTTGAGAATGAAACCTCACCAGCAGAAATCCAAAAAATACTAGCATTGAGTAATTAAAACGGTACTGTAGGTACCTACCTCAAACCTCATACCTCTAAATTATGTGTTATGACCTCATTTTCAGGGAGGTGCGATTAAAAAAACAAAGTTTTCATATTGGAGAAGCTTCATTACTGGTACTGTGTCTTTGCAGTACCGTAACATGGAAGTCAGAGGCCTTGGTGCCAGGCAATCAGTAAAACGTCTATTTTTTATCGAATTCCGGGTGTAAAATTTTGCCCTACACGACAAATAACTACCTATAATATTCATACTTATTTACATAACACGACAGGAAAATGACACATTACATGGCGAGGAAATAAATTGATGTTTAATTTCCGTATCTCGAGTTTTGTATAAGGTACATTTTTTTCCAAAATCGTTTTTTATAATAATACAATTTCAATTTTTATATAGAACTTTTGATTAATATTGTAGCAAATATTCTAGAAATCCCGATAGACACCGAGGCGGCATTAGCGATAAGAAACTAAGGCGGTTATGACGCATTTTTTCCGGGAAATATGAGGGGTTCGTTTTAGCAAATTCGGAAACGTTCGGGAGGACTCGGAGAACATTCTAGAAGTACCGTTATTTGCTATATAAGCAATTTGAAGCTGGTTTGCAATCAAGGGAAGTTAAAATTGAAACAGGCCAGCAAGAAATAAGAGGTATGATTCGATATAAGACACAGTGTCCAAAGTGAGGCACACAGTGTCCAAGATAAAATTCATACAGTAGAAAATGAAATCAAAACGCACGGTAGGTACTTGTGGATTATGGTTGGACACCCCAAGAACTCCGGACGGCTCAAGAAGATGACCGTAATTTACCTGATAAACTGGTATTGGTCTCTGCAGTGGAACTCGTTTACGGCTAGAAGACGATCTTCATAAGAGGGTTCTAGAAAATGATGATGGCACGACCACAAGTGTGTATGTATAGGTACTGATCCCGGAGAGCAGGAAATCTGAACTACTACGACAGATGCACGATGGTATACCGGGAAGTGGCAAAAACGGTGGTTAAGGTGCGGTTCATAATTGCACCCAAGATGTGGAGGTGTGGTGCCGAAAATGTGCGGTTTGTGACACAATGAGGCAATACAATGTGGATAGTCCGTAGTCCAAGGATATACATAGCTATTGAAATCTCAAACCCCTTCTCTAAGACAGTTTCTACAACTAAATACATCTTGGCGGTCATGTACTATTTCAGTAAATGGACAGAAGCATATTATGTTATGCAATACCAAATCAAGAAGCGACAACCTGTGGCAGACATGGGCGTACGCAGCTTTTGGTCTAGGGAGGGGCAAAAAATAAAATTGGCGGAAAAAATGTTTAATGAAGCACATAATATACATTTTTATTTTTAGTAGGTAATAGTTACTAAAACCGTCTTCAAAATTAGTATTTCTCAAAATATTAGTTGCCCATTACCGCTTTTATATCAATTAATTTTGTATTAAATATGCAAAAAAAAACACGGGGCGAAAATGGATAGGTAGATGTAAAGGCCATTTCGGTATATCGGTAGAATTTTAGGCAAATCGGTAGATCTACCGAAAAATCGGTAGACGGAACATCACTGGCTGACTACTGCACAGTGGTTTGTGTTAACGCGCGATTAGTGAACGATAACTTCGCTCAGCCCGACGGCAGGCGAGCCGGTACCCTAATTTATAGCTTAAAACCTCTTTCATTGTTTAAATCTCAAAGGATTGAATTAGAAGCCAACAAAGACAATTCTTACAGATGTTTTTTAACAATAACATAAAACGTAACCTGTGGCCAGGCCAGGGTGGGGCTGCTGCCCCCCTTGCCCCTCCCTGCGTACGCCCATGGTGGCAGACATTCTGGTAAAAGAACTTTTTAGTAGATTTGGAGCACCCTTGGAACTACACTCTGACCGGGGTCAAAATCTTGAGTCAGCCTAAAGCCTGTGTCAACTATTGGGCAATCGCAAAACCAGAACCACCCACAGTCAGACGGAAGGGTAGCACGCATATAAATAGGACACGGGGGAAGTACTTGTCAAAAGTTGTGTTCGACCGCCAGCGTGATTGGGATGAATATTTATTTATTTATTATTCCTCTCTTGTTCTGGGCCCTCAACAGGCTTGCGCCCAATTACAGAGTGACCCGCATAATAGGAAAACTGCAGGAAAACCTAATTCGGAGTATCCGGCAGAATGCTCGAAACTGGTCCAAGGTAATTCCCATCTCTGCCACAGATGAAAAATTCACCTCAACCCAGGTTCGAACACCCGACCTCCGGATTTATAGTCCAACGCTCTACCACTGAACCATAGAATCTTTATTTGTTCCTGGTGGTGAACCGTGCTGCGGTGGAAGAAACTACAGAACAGAGCCCAGCTTCCGTTTGTTTGGCACGGATTTCCGGTTACCATGTAATTTGAAATGGGGTACAAGACCCGGGCAAGAATAAGAAACCGGGGAAAACCTGCATCAGAAATTGGGTACCATCGCCATAATATGCAGTTAGATATTATAGCCGTTGAGTGAAGGATTAGTATTACTCAATAATATAGCGATATGATAAAAGTGCAGTACGACGTAAAGACCCATTGATGATTATCAACCTGGAGATCTGGTTTGGTTGTATCGTCCCCAGAGAAGACACCGAAATTACAAAGAGTTTAGGAAGGACCATATACAGTCGTGGAGTACAAACCGATGGTGATGGCGATAACAAATCACAATCAAAGGAGATCTGATAAAGACGAAAATTCTTCGGAAAATTAAAGATCTTACGGTAACGGTAGCACTGGCACCCAAAAGTCAGAAGTCACAGCAAAAACAGATAAAAAGACGAAAAGTAGAAATGTTTGGTCACAGCGATAAAAATTGTTCAAGTACAAAACAGACCATCTTGAATGAAGTAGATATAGAAAGCCAAGCATGGGTGCTACGAATGTTTGAAAATAGTCATATAGTTGACGATATCTGCCTAGTTAAGCAGGGAAATAGTAAAAATGAATTAGATTGTTCTGAAAGTTTAGAGAATAATGATTAAGGAGGTCGTAAGCTCGTAAACGTTTACTTGTAGCATACATATGGGCGTATTTGTATTTTAGTTGTTCGTTGATGATGACAACCTTGCTGTCGAAACGCTTTCGAGGTTTTAATATATTATTGTGGTTTATTGGTGTTTTTAGAGCAGAGCAGAAATGGTATGTTTCATTCCATTACTGAATCTCGCCCTTTGTACACATTTCTATGTAATTTAACCTAGGTACTAATTAAAGACATTTATTATTATTATTATTATTTTACTTTTGCAAGTTCAACAGTTACAAGTAGTTCTCATGGTTCCGGCATTTTTGCAAATTTATTTGTAAAAAGATAGCTTTTAATCTCACTTCGACCGATGGCTGGCTGGCTGGCAGCAAATGCGGGCCCGTAGAATAACGCCTGTAGAAACACGAGGAGTGTACATGTACCTACCGGGGTCATGTACTTACCAACTTTAGGGACTGGGTTACAGGATGTGGGGTCGGCGACATCTGGGCGCCATCTCGGAGTGTGTTTGTGATCTTCTGGTCTCCTACAATTTTGATCCGATTGTGTTCAAATTGGTGTCGTTGGAAAGATCTTGCAAACGCCCACTGCAGGACGGAATTTGCGAATTTAATTACCTTTTGCAAGGCGCGCGTCTTCAAAAGGTAGCAGTTTTTGGGGGCCCAAATGTTTCTTAGAGCTCGAATCGCGGCCTCTCTTTCTCGTGCCGCCAATAAAAAGTCGAGCTATAATAAGTGCCCCAAAAATCGAGTACGATTTTGTGGAGGGTTTTTTTAGTCCATACGCTAGATAACAGTAAGAAGGGGTTTCCAATGAACGTAATTTTTACGTACGTATACGTAAGCGGTATGGAAGTCTTGCACATAGTCGCAAAAGTTGAAAATGTTTCAAAGCTACGTACGGTCAATGATCATACTACTATGTAGCAATGTAGCATGATCTTTGGTTTATTGTAAACAACGAAGTAAATTTACGGAAACGATACGGATATATACGAGTTACGGTTTAGAAATATTTACGTATACGTCCATTGTAAACAAACACTTACATCCTGTGTTTTTGAGAGGTCCACGAGTTATTGTTGTGGCATTATGATGTCTCGG